GAGAGAAACTGAGGCCTCACAGGCAACTGGAGAGAGCCGACGAGCACACAATGAAAGACAGATGCCCACAACGACAGTCCCAGCCCATCTCTCCTTCATTCAGATGTGGTTCACCCAGAGCCCAGGAACAAGCCCACATATTAGAGACCTGGGGCATCCCTCCTCCCTCCCCAGTGCAGTAGAGGAAGAGGTATACCTTAGGGGTATTCCAGCTCCTGTGTTGTTCACTTGCTTGTTCATTTTGGTGGTGGGGATGGGGAAGTACTACTGAAAAAGAACTTAAAATTCACCTGGTTCAAACACCTCCTTTTACAGGTGAATCTGTGAAATCCTATGCAATTATGTGATTTGTCTAATGTCACTTACTATGAGTGTTGGGTCTGGGGTTAAAACTGAGTTGTAGACTCCTGATGCAGTGCTCTTCGTAATTTTCCAGAAGTTAAACAGCTCCTCAAGGTCACCTACCATATACTGCTGAGGAATGCTGGGTAATCCTTCAAATCAGAAATGGAAGAAAAGCCCAGAAAAAAAAGCCCTGGCTTGGGAGTCAGAAGTCATGGGCCATCAACCCAGCCATGACATCAAGAAGCTGTATGACCTCACACAGGTAGCTTAACCTCCAAGGATGCCACCAGAGCCCCTCCCTAACATGGGCAAAAACAATGAGAACTCCACATTCATCAACTTGGCATCTGCGCCTCTTGAGATGATTTCACTGAAGACTGAGTTCTGAGTTAAAGAGGTTTAAAACCACGGATTACATGGCCCTGCCCAGCAAGCTTAGCCCTGATTATTTTGGCTATGGCCTCCCAGGCCTTGAAGCAAAAGCACAACTGCTTTGCTCTTGTTCACCACTAGGGGGAGAGAGATCCTTGTTCCAAGCCTGAAGAGAAACAGGGAAGCCATGGCCAGGCATTTCCCCCATTGCCCCCCTGCTCCAACCAGCAGTCAGGTGGAGGTTTAAAGGCCGGAACCCAGGATTCTCATTGGCCCACGAATGACGTCAACACACACCTCATCTGCCACCCCCTGAACAGGTTCAGCACACCCTGTCCTCATAGGGCAGGACTGCCATGACCAGCTAATGCCACTTTAACTCCAAAGGCATAGGGTGGAAGGAGGAGGGGAGGGGATGGTTGGAGAATGGCAGGCAGCCTGCTGCTCGTTCATCTTACAGCCAGATGGGAAATGAGATAGCCAGCCTCACACTGCCTGTCCCCTCAGGGTGGTAACACAAGAACTGAGACTCCCAGTGCAACAGGCCACTTCCTCTCAGCTCCATGACCTCTCAGCTGTGGAGGCAGCTCCTCCCACTCTGGTTCGAGGGCCAAGCCACCCACACTCCCTGGACCACCAGTGCCTCGCTGTAACTTGGGGATGGAAACTAATGAAACACCTTCAGGTGAAACACGTGGTAAACCCAGAAGATGGGAAAGCACAATGAATTTATAGTATCAATGGAGCTCCGGCCTTAAGGTGGGGAAGCCCGGGAGGGGGCTATTCATGGGCATGGCACAAATAGCTCAGGGCAGCATCTTAAGGCTGGGCTCCTATGCAAAAAGATGGGGATGTGGGGTGCTATGGGTAGGGAGGTTAAGCACTACCCTCATCCCCATCAAGTTCAAACTCAATGCCATTGGCTCTTCTAGACAAACTGGAATTATCTGTTGCACATGATATCATGTGTCAAGAATCTCCCAACACCAGAGTGCAAGCCTGAGTCATCTTGAATGGTCTTCTCTTCCCTCGTTCGCAGACCTGGAGGGCTCTAACATCAGAACCACAACTAGCAGGACTAAGGCTCAGTTCTGCTTCCCCAGCCTCACAAACTCCAGGAAAGCAAATGCCAGAAGCTGGAAGTTTTGAAGGTCTCCTCCCAAATGTCTCCATTGGTCAAGACCAACAGGGGGAGGGATGCCAGGCAGTTTGAGGCAGTCTCTCTTTCAGAGGCCATTTCAGGCCAGGCCGGGAAGGGAAGGAGCGCACCTCTCTGTCCTGCCACCATCTTACCCTATAAGCACAATAAAAGACGGATACTCCGCTACCCTTTCTGAAGCCCCTCAGTGCTCTCCGGAGCTCTCTCTCTTCCCCTTTCACACACACATACGCTCTCCACAGACTCTGCAGAACCACTGCCAGCTCTTTCACAACCAGCTTTTCCCATAAACTAGCCACACAGCACGGGGGCTGGCTACCATCTCCCCTGGACCCCCATGGGCCTCCAAGACCCTGGCTGCAGGTGCCTCATCAGCTCCAGGGCAGCACTTCCAGGATTGGGGGGCAAGGTGAGACAGCGAGATGGCGAGATGTAAGGGGCTGCGTGGAGCATGAGCTCAGCATCTCCTACCATCTGCCCTTGCAGACACAGTCCTAGACATTCACCCATTCTCCACACCCTGGCCCCCAAAACGTGGACTCTCATCGTCCTGGAAGGTTTTCCTCCAAGTAAGGCAGCCCTCGGGTTTCATCCTGTCGGTCAATGCTGTAATCTCCACGCAGGGAGGATTTTATGTAACTCAGTCATTCACACAAACCAAAGTGCAGCTCAGGGGAAGAAAGGCCTCCGGAGACAGGCATTCCAGACCCAGGAAACTCCTCTGAGAACCTCTCTCTGCTCTGGTCAGTCCCCACCTGAGGCTCAGTACTCGGCACATTTGGCTGGAGGTGTTCTTTTCTGTACCCAGGCCCCCTAAAGGCAGTAATGCGTCTTCATGACTTCCTCTGCTTCCCTCAGACCTCTGTCCTCAGTCCCTGAATCCCAGGCTCCCTACTCTGGCCCCAAAGTTGGCAGACACCCCAAGGATCTGGGCAAGAAGGCCAGGGGTGGGGGATGGGATCCCCAACTTTATAGAATGAGCCCTTACAGAACCTGGGGATCTGCCCGTGCTTGGGTAATTCCACCCACCACTCCTACTCCAACCGGAGAGGAGAAAGGAAGAAGGGCAGACAGACCCCGAAAGACCTGTCAGTCAAGAGACAAGGTCAAAGCAGAAGGCATGCTATTAACAGCTGGGCAATGGGGGAGCTTAGTGTCAGGGGTCAGCTGTCCTAGGGCCAGAGCAAAAGGCCTGGTGAACCCCACCCCCACTCCCCCCCCCCCCGTGAATCATGACAACAGAGAGGGAAGGGACAGCCGGGCTTGGGAGACAAAATGACAAGTCAATGAGGGTCTGACCTCTAGGACCCAGGACAGACAGCAGGAGAAGGGAAGGAAGAAAAAGAACGGTCACTGTCTGAAGGCTACAAGGGTCCAAGGGGTCCTGAAGAATGGTCCCCAGGGCTGAAGGAAGGGCAGCTATCTCTTCCACAAAGGGGCCCAGGGCACATACACGCTCTGTCAGGCCCAGTCCTGGTCCGGAAGGGCAGGACTAAATAAAGTCACCCAGGGGACACTGTTCCCTGAAATCAAATGAGAGGCTTGGAATTATATGCTCACGCCAGTGTATGCAGAGTGCTGGGAGTGGATTCCGGAAGACTGAAAAGTCAGGTCATAATGTCTTGGCTGGAGAGATAAAATCAGAATTGGTGGATGGTGGCATTTTTATAATTAGTACCACGGCATATCTGTCCTGCACTCTGTGGTTCACAAAGCATTTCCGTACACAATATCTAGTTCTGATTTTAATTTTCCCAGTCACCCTGAAACGACTGCTGGATCACCTATCAATAGCTCATTTTGCACATGAAGAAGCTGGGGTTCAGAGAGGTGGAGCAGCCTGTCCAGGGTCCCCCAGCGATAAGTAGCAATGGCTGACCTATTGAATGTGAACACTGAGCACGTATACACTACCGTTGTTGTTAGCTGCTGTCAGTTCCGTCTCACGGCGACCCCATGTGTGCAGAGTAAAACAGTGCTCCACTGGGCTTTCAAGGCTGTGACCTTTCAGAAGCAGATCGCCAGGTCTGTCTCCCAAGGCGCCTCTGGGCGGGTTCAAAACTCCAACCTTCAGGCTAGTACTTGAGTGCTTAACTATTCGTACCACTGCACATTATATAATCATCTGTACAAGTACATCAATAAGATGCAGCAAGATATTCAAAAAAGGTAGCCCCCGAGTCCCACCCATACAGTTCCACTACTCATAAACAAATCTGAGCTGGCACTACCCTTAAAGATCTGCCCAAATGGTCAGTTAGTTCTTTACTGAACGTTTCTGATTGTGAAAATATGAACTCTTGACACCTTCTCCTCCCTGGGTGAGGAAGGCTTCAGAGTTTTTACTATGGTCACTACAAAGAAAAAAACAGTAGAAACTGGCCAAGGTTCAATTTAATGAGGCAACGTTGAACCACTGCCTCCGGTTTATTACGAAAATGGGGAACAAAGGGGTCAACAGAAACTATGTATCAGTTGTAGGGTCAACATGGTGGGTGAGAAAGCTTTTAACATGAAAAGGACAGCAGCTATTGCTATTTTAAAGGCTGCACCCCCAATCGAAACACCGCCATGTAAAGCGAGGGCGTCAGAACTCAGTGCTGCGAAAGGGAATCCTTACTGAAAGCCAACCGTCCAGTAGAGGGAACAGCTAGAAGGCAATAAATGCCCTATAGTAAAAAGAATTCCTTTGGTCTCCCTTATGGGGAGCAGCAGAGTCTTTATCTTGACATTGTTCCTTTAACCCATATTTGCCCCCACCCCCTCCTAAATTTCCTCTTGGGCTTATCTCCAAGCCATCCTTTTCCTCAAAAGATTAAAGATTTAAACACAACCAGTTAGCAGTATATATAATCTTCAAAGAGTACTTTAGACATCATAAAGAATACTTTAACAGGCACTCATTTTTTTTCCCTTACCACACCTGTCCTCATAAACCATTTATGAGTTTCGTAGCGAAAGAGAACGTACCAGCTCAGATAAAGAAAAAACCACCACTCAGGAATGAAAGCTTAGACTGCAGACCACCCTTCCAAACACACACAAACACCTGAAATTTAGTACCGCAGTGTGCCTCCCCCAAAGAGCTCCTCAGCCTCCCTCTCTAGCTCCAGCCTGCTCCTACCAGTGGCGCACAGAGCAATGAAGGTCTGTGCGTGCTTGCGGATCAGCGACAGCTTCTCCCTCGGCTGGGGCAGCTTGCGAAGGATGTGCTCGATGAAGTCGTGAGGGGTGACGGCTGCCAGGTTCCACTTCAACTTGCCCAGCACCACCAGCTCCCACTCCTGGTGAGGAAGGTAGGAAGAGTATAAAATCCAAAGTCTGACCTGGTATCTGGGGCTGGGGGGTTGGGATCCCGATCTGTTTTAATGATGCTCATTAGGTCACTTTGAGATTGGAAGGCAGGCCCATTTGTCGATGGGCTCTTAAAGCTTTGAAGCTGTTGACGGCTCTTCTTATGCTTCAAATGTCAGGTTCCACTGAAGATAATGAGAGCCCAGGTAGCTGTTGCCAAGATTCTCCTTTTTTCTCTTTCCTTTCCTCCCCAGCTCCCCCTACTCCCACCCACCCCTGACTTCCATGTGATGCTGCTTCCTGCCCACCCAGAAAGTTTAACCTATAAGACACTGCCAAGATCACTGTGGCCCTTTGGTAGTTATTTCTTCTATGTGTCTATCCCTGGATTAACAGTCTTTTTAATCCTTGTGGAAAAATGATGTACATGGATAAAGCTCAAAATACGGTTCTCTGGCCCAACTCCTTGGCAACCAATTAGCTTGCTCGTACTTGTTGCCAAAAAGTGCCATTTTTCTCTTCGCTGTTAGAGCTTTCCCCTTGACATATCATGCAGAAATCATGGGGAAATGACACTTAGCCACGAACACCCTTTCACCTAAATGTTTCTCTGGCCTTTGTAATCATGACCAAAGGACCAGGACTGTCATTAAACTAGTCGTTGTCAAGTTGACTCTGACTCCTGGCGACCTCACGTGTCAAGAGTAGAACTGTGCTCCATAGAATTTTCAATGACTGATTTTTCAGAAGTAGATCTCCAGGCCTTTCTTCCGAAGTGCCTCTGGGTGGACTTGAACCTCTAACCTTTCGGTGAGCGACAGAGTGCAGTTTGCCATTTACACTCCCCAGGGACTCTGGGATTATTTAGTCCCCTCCCACATTTTACAGATGGGAAGTGATTCTAGCAAGGTGAAGATGACTGTTCAAGGTCAGAGAGTCCCTTAGTGCAAGTCTGGGACAATACAGACCTGTCTCTTTTGGGCCTCTGACCAGCAGCCCACCTAACGAAAAACCCTATTTCTCTCCCCTATTGAGATACTTTTGGGAAATTGTGCTAAAAGGGAAACAAGTCAGAAAGAAAACCTTAAAAACATGGGCAATCAGAGGGAAAATATGCCTATCAGTCAATCGTCTTCCTAAGAATGAGAGGCAGAGACCAGCTCACCAGTGCCTCCCCATTCATCCTAAGAACCCCAAATCCCTTCCATTGACTAAAGCCGAGAGCCATATGCTAAGCCAGTGTCAGAGTCCTGGTACAGCAGAAAGGCTGTACTCCCTGGTGGTGTGGCCAGGGCAATGCCCTTTCCTTCCCTGGGCCTCAGCTTTCTCAGTTATAAAATAGGAGGACTCCTCCAGATTCCAACTTACGGGCTAAAAAGATGAGGAATGCAATAAAGGCAGGTTTGTTTGCAGCAATATAAATCAACCTGGCTCATCCTGGAAAAACTGTGGTGTCCCGAAGAATACCACCTCAGTCCAGCATTCTGTTGAAAAAAATGGACCAGATGGAAGACTAATTTTCCTGTGCTACCATGAGAAAAACAAACTGGACCCGGACTCTTAACAATTTCTTTTTTTATAAATGCTAAAGTCTGCCCTGGCTTTTTATAGAGGGTTGGAGTATCCCTGATAGACTACCAAACAATCACCGTCTTCAAAGATGGCTTGAAATCCCAGCCCTTTCTTCTCACAGGGGAATGTGAGTACAAGCCACTCGTCTTGCACCATTATTAAAGGAAGCAGATCTCCCAGAAGAAAGTACCTTTCTGGGCCTCTCGGACCAAACCAGAAGCAGCTGAAATCTGGCAGTGGTTCAAAGGTGAAGTCATTCCTGCCCCTCTCCACATTCTCAGCAATTCCTCCCCCAACCTTGCGCATGTCTACCACTAGATGGCAGCACAGCCCCAGAAAGGAAGGCCCTCACAAAGAGCTCAGTTCAAGAAGCCAGTCTTAGCTCTGTGGACTTTGTGCAGGCCAGCTAGTAAGGAGGTGGGGGAAGAGGGGGCCCCTTTTCCAAACAGTAGAGGGAAAGGTGTGGAGACCACTGGAGGGGCAGCCTCAGAGCTGCTCCATCATTCCAGCGCTGCTGTGATATGGATGTCTCATGTGCAGAGCTGAAGCGAAAAAAGATTCAGACTGATGGGAAAAAGGCTCCCTGGCAGAGAGCTAGAGGCAAGCCAGGACCACCGGGGCTGTAGAGAGGTCACAACCCCATCAGAAGTAGCGACACAGGCCTCAGACTCCTCCAGTGAAAGGCTAACATTTGACTTTGCTCAAAAGCTGACTGGCTGATATTTAGTGCATAGCTACTATGCGTAGGTACTGTGAGACTAGATACATATATAAGACACTACCTTTAAACTCCAGGTTCTTAGATAAACCACTAAACAAATGCCTATTACGTGAACACATTCCTTATCTTGTGAGATGTCTGACTATAGTCTCAGAATCCAGTGACTGAAAATTTGAATTTAAATGAAGTATTGTCATTGTACTCCATTCTTCCTCTACACACACACAGACACACACAAATGAATCTCACCAACACAAATGTCTGGGATGGTCTTATTTGTCCATGTAGCCTCTGTGGTTAAGACAGTGCCCAGCACACAGTAGGAACACAAAAAATAGATGTGTTAAAACAGTGTGAAAATTCTAGCGGTAGGGAAATTTGGGATCCTAAGAATTTGTTTCGGCAGGGGTAGGGAGAAGACACCTTAGGCCAGGAGGGAACAGGAGGGACAGCAGAAAGGGAGGGAGAAGGGGGCAGTCATTACCAGCAGTTCCTGAGGCTTGATGGAGTTGTCGGTATAAATGCACAGTTTCTCTGCCGTCAGAGGGATGGTCTCTTTGAGCTTGGAGGCCAGGAACATGCAGACAGCACCCAGGAGTTGCAGATGGGACTTAGGGGTCGGGACCCCAGCCAAGAAACGGTCCAGGTAATTCATGGCCAAAGGGAAGACCTCTTCTTCACACTTCTGTTCTTCACAGACCTACAATGGGAGTGGGAATGGGTTGGGAGGGAGAGAAAAAAGTACAGGAAAAAGAGAAAAAGAATGAAAAAACAATCTATGGAAACAACAAAAAATATTTAATTTTTGTGGGGAGGGGGAGGGGAACCGAATGTGTGACAAGAATAAAGATGAGGAAACGGGTAAATCTAAATAGCCCATCCAATTTCGAGTATTCTCCCGAAGCCTAAAAACTGGGGTGAATGAAAGATCCAAAGCGGGGAGTCAAAGAAATGCGCAGCGGCTACACGACGCTCCCTTTCGCTACTCCTTTGCTCACTCTCTAACTCACTCTCTTTTTTGGATTTCGTCATCTTTTCAAAAAATCAATAAAAATATTCTGGAGGCTCCGAGGGTCTCCTGCTTGGCCCCATTCGGTACCCCAGACCCTGCTCTATCATTCCCGACAATTGAAAAAAATGCCCGGGGGGGTCCCTGCGGTCCAGGCGCCGCTATTGGGGGGGTGGGTGGGGAGAGGTGGGGAAGAGAGGGGGAGGGAGGAGACGAGGAAGAGCGCCGCAGCCTCGGCAGCTGGAGTCGGAGCAGGGGGGATGGTTTCAAAAAATAATTAAAAATCGAGAAAATATCCTAGAAGAGCCCTTTCGGGGTGAAAACCCCAAGGAGGATCCAGACTTCCCGAAACGGAGGTTTCGGGTGCCGGCAAGGTCTGTATCTCGACCCATGGAGCTCTGGATCCCGGGGGGAAACTTGAAGGGGTGAGAGCCGCGGCGGGAGTGTCCGGCTGCGGCCCACAAGGGCAGAAACTAAGGAACGTGGTGACCAGCTAGAGAGAAGACCGGGGCCTGAGAGCCTCCGGAATGAGGCACGGGGGGACCTGCCCTCTCATTTAGGGGTGCCCCGATATCCTCCCACACACACACCTCCTCCCCCCCTTTCTACCCCACCCAACTCTCCGCACCGAGGAAGCAGGAAAGCCAAACTGTAAGTAACCTTCGTGAGGTGGGGGTCGGAGGAGAGAGCAAGATTAAAAGTGGGGTGGCCGGGAAAAGGGGGTGCGAGGGGGAGCGGGCGGCGACTCCAGACTTTCCAACTGGAGTTTGCAAAGCAACATGGCGAAACCACGGCAGGTCCAGAGCTGTGCATACGTGGGCACACAGCTTGCTCGGCAAAGATTTGGAGCAAGGGTAAAGAAGTGGTTCTTTTGGGTTCCCCTAAAACACAGGTTTCTTCAATATGACTTCCGGGGCTCCTGAATTCCCCATTTCTCTCCTCCTTCCTCCTCCCCCCCCCCCTTAAGTGCCAACGCGGAGTCGCGACCGCATGCGGGGACCTGAAGCTAGGACGAATTTACTTTGGCATTTTGGGGGGTGCATTTTACTGTGGGTTCCAATGTTGCGCTCCTACTACCCTCTTCACCGCACGGAAAGCAGCCGCTGCTTCGCAAAAGACAGGTTGGGATGGGGGTGGGAAGAAGAGGAAGCCACAGGCAGGCACACGCGCGCGGGATGCTCCCCCACCTCCGCCCCAGGACAGCCTCGTTTCTCCTACATTTTCCTCACCTCTCCTCTCCCCCTCCCCCAAGTTAATCCTGCATCTAACAAGGAACCGAAATGAAGCCACGCGTCCCGCCAAAGGGCTCGGGGTAACCTCGCGTCCAAGAGCGGGGAGGCCGGTACAGAGGCTACCCTGTCCCAGTTTTAGGGTCCCTGCGTGGGAGCTGTGAATCGGGGTGGGGGCATGGTTCCTAGAGAGCGTCGCCTGCAGCCCTACCTCCAGCATCCAGGTGGCCACCATCCTCCGCATGTAGGGCTGGATGTCCTTCTGCACGCATTTGAAGTAGGAGCACTGAGGAAGGTAGCGCTCCTCGATGGTGAGCAAGTTCTGCAAAATGCGGTCGTCGTAGAGCAGGTTGGGGTCCGGCACGGCCCTGCGGACCGGGTCCACCTCGCAGCACAGCAGCTCCATGGCGAGCCGGGCGCGCACTCGTTCCCCTGCTCTCTCCGGACTGGAAAAGTTTCTCTTTTTTTTTTTTTTTTGAGGGGGGAGGGGAAGGGGTTCCCCTTACCTCCTTCCTTTGGCTAAAGAGAGGGTTTTCGGAAGAAGGTTAGGGGCAGAGAGAGAAGCTGGAGGAGAAGAGAGGAAAGGGATAGGCGGTGGGAGAGGAGAGCCCCGGGGGCTGCTGAACTCGCGCCTGCCCTCCCCTTCAAATTTGTCTCGCTCTGCCCAGCTCGCTCTTCTCTCTGCACTCTGAGGCAGTGACGCAAACTGGCTGGGCAGTTAGTTCTCCTCCCTCTCGCCTCGCTCCCCTCTCTGGTTACTCCTCCCCTTCCCTCCCCTCTCGGTCCTCCCCTCCTCCTCCCTCCCTCCCTCCCTTCCCCTCTTATTAAGGAGAACAGCAGCTGGCCCGACCAAACTTCAAACGCGGTCCCCCGCCCCCCACCCGTCTCCTTAGCTCTTCGAGGCCCTCTCCCCTTATCCAGCCCTGCATGCCAGGGGCCCCGGAGAGGGGAACCCGCAATAAGACCGATTTCTATGTATGCCTTCCAATGTCGTACATTCTGTAGGTGTTTCAGAGCAAAATACGATCCTCCAACTTGGGCTTCTTCAAAACTGATGCAAATACCCCAGCCCATGTATTCAAGATCCAGAATGACTGGTAGATTACTTGAAGATGGGGTAGGAACAGACGATTGGGAAATTGATCTCATAAGTGAAAAATAAGGGATAATTTCATAATATAGCAACCACGAATACTTAAGAGATAAAGGTTATGTATGGATCGTGTATCTGAAGTTTATGTTCTGGTCATTTCGAAGCTATATGAAAAGCTTGATTAAAGGGACAAGAGCATCCCCCCCCCCCCAGATGTGCGTGGAGAGGAAGAAGAGGAAGGGGTGGGCGTTAGGAGGGAGAAGGCTGTTTCTCCGACGTGATAGAATATGACCCTCGAGCAAAAATCCTGTTCTTGGGGCTCTAACGGAGTCATTGGAGGACGCAGGGATGGGCCCAGGGCTGCTGCAGACCGGGGGCAGTGCTAACAGCGGCTCCTCCGCGGCTGGCGGCCACGCAGGAAAAAGCCGCTTCCTCGCCCCTGCATCTGCTGACAAGCCGCCCGAGGTGTCTGCGCCGAGCTTGGCCACACTGATACAGCTTTCTAGGAAATAGCCCGGGAGGGGGAGGGGAGGGGGGCGAAGGAGGGATTAGGTTTGGCTCCCCCTCTCTCCCCCTGCGCAAACAACACCACCCCTTCCTTTCCTCGGAGGCCCGAGATTTCCACCCTTGGTCCTTCGCCTGCATCTTCGCCGCTCCCTCCGGGTTCACGCCTCACTCGCCAACCAGAGCTTTCTCCCCGGGAGCGGGTTTGCGGTGGAGACACTGCCAGCGCAGCCGGCTCTGACACGTGCTCAAACGCACCCTCGGGTCAAGGCTTTTTTTTTACAGGAGAGATGGTGGCGTTTCCTTACCTCCTTCCTCCCGCCACCCTGCATTTCAGTGCTTTTCACTTTGGGAGGAGGAGTGAGCCCAGCGCCCCCAACCTGTTGGCCGAGCTGGCACGTGCAGTGAGCCTGGAGTGGTTTGGGGCTCTCTGGACACACCGAGGGGGACCGAGGACCTCCTTCACCAAGAATGGGGGCCCGAATGGGGACGTGGAGAGCAAGGGTGGGGTGGGGTGGGGTTGGGAGGCCGGGCTGGGTGAGCTGTTCATAAGGTTCCCTGAAAGGCGGAGGGGAGGTGGAAGGCGGGGAGAGAATAAACCAGAGGTGCAGGCGATTAACTCAGGCCCCGGAGCCAGCCTCTTTAAATGAGGGTGGGGCGGAAGGGGTGGGTGGTTGTGGGGAGGGGGGATATCGCTTTAAAAGGGTGAGTAAGAGTTTGGGGCGCCGTCTCCCCTCCCTCTATTTGCATAGCCAATAGCTCTGGGGCTCCTGCTACTGCGCGCTGATTGTTACCGGGCAGATTACTTTTTTTTTTTTTTTTTTTTTTTTAGTAGGACGCGTTCTCCGCTACATCAAAAGGAAGCCAGGGAGGGCGGAGGGAGAGCGGGGAGCCGGACGGGAGAGGGCCGAGGAGAAGCTGGGGCGCCTGCAACCTTATCAATAGCCGCAAGAATTAGTATCCGATCTACGGTCTGTAAAGAAAGGGGAGGGACGGGGGCGGGCGAGAAAAATGTCTAATTGCTGTGGAAGCCATTAGCTTTCGGGAAGGAAAAAAAAAGCTCACTGAAAAACCCAACTTGCAAACTCAAAATGAAACAGTTCCGCGCAGCGGATGACACTCGGGCTGAGTACAGTGTTCACAGGAATACAGTCGGGTCCCTCACAATCACCTATTGATTTTAGTCAAGTCGGATTTCCCGACTTAAGCTTTTGAGTCCCTCCGGATAAATACGTTAACTTACATTTTAAGACCCCATAAAGGAATTACTCAAACGTCACTTCAGCCACCTTTGAGCGGATCAAAGAAAGCTGCTGGGGCTGGGGGGAAGGTGCGGGTTAAGAGAGGTATTTTTAAAGTATAAATCTAACCCGACAGGCAAGGGCAGAAGCCTGAGAGGGCTTCCAGGCTCTTGACATCACTTGATAACTAACCAAGCACGGTCTTTTTCTTCACCACCCTGCGGGAATAGCTTCCCGAGCTCAGGGTCCCCGGAAGGGGGCCCAGGGAAGAGGCTAGTGGTCGTCCCCAGAGCCTCGCCCACCCCGGGGAGAAAGCCTGGGTGGCAAGTGCTCAAGTCTCCGAGTGAACCGAGGGCTCTCTCGCCCCTTCTCTCCCTCCCTACCCCCACCCCCGTCTTGCTTTACAGAGAAATTCCGGGGGGGGGGAGGGTTGGGGGCTGGCAGAGGGGAGGGACGGAGAGGGTCGGGGCGGAGGCCCCCCTCCCGGCGGCCCTCTTCATTCATGGAGACCCGCGAGTTCGGGTGCTTCCCGCGTGGCAGGCTCGTCTTTTGAAAGCCTGTTTAAGTTCCCCCATTCACTTCCCCTTCCTATTACGGACTGTTCCCGAACATTAACCTCGCATAGAAGCCGTCCCCTGTCGTTTTTCAGTCTCCAACACGTGGGGCGTGAGAGGGTGCGGGGGTTGGCAGGAGCTTCTCCAGGAACCTTGGACTGGAAATTGACTTTTCCTTTTTGCTGGCCGCTTAGACCATGTGTTAAAACCTGAATTTTGCTTGTTAAAAAACACTCCGCCTAGCACGCGGGAAAAGGCTCGTTGCCCCCTGGGCAAACGTGCGCATTTTCTTTGAGTGTACACTCAGGTTTAGAGAAAAAGTGCAAGCGCCTTTGCTCTGGCTTTGAACTCAAACTGGGCACTGTGGGGCGGGGCGGGGCGGGGGGGATGTTGGTTCTTCTTATCCCTTTCTAACCCCTCAAGGGGGAGAAAATATCCTGTCCTTTGTAGGATCGGTGATAAACTTAGCGAACACAAGTTTTATTGGACTTTTATTCTCTCTCTCCTCGCCGGCTCCCCAGCCCCCACTCCTCGCGTTTCGGAGTTTCAGTTGGAAAGTGTACAAAACCCTGTAGGTGTAGGGTGCAGCCGGGTGTTGGGTGTTTATAGGCACATCCTTGCAGGAACCTGCAAGCTAAGCACACACGCTCCCAAGCTCACCTGGCGGATGCGGAGCAGCCAGGTGATCCCGCCGTAGGCTCAGAGCTCAGGAGCCGCGCGGGTTAGAGCCTTGCCGCCTCTGCACAGAGGCGCTCAGGCCAGGTCGGGGGGAGTCGAGTTCAGACGCAGAAACGGGGGCCGCCATCGCCCCCCCACCCCGCCCAACTCTCCCAAAGAATAAAGCTGTGTTTCTGTTTCTCCATGGAGGGATGGATGGTCAGAAAATTAAACAGAGAAACCCGACAGTCATTTAAAAGTAGATGGCGAAGGGCCCCCAGCCTCGGTTCTTGACTCCCGGAGTGCCGGGGATGGAACTAGAAGAGGAACAGAAAGAGGAAATGAGAGGGAATGGGGAGGGAATAAAAGCAAATTAGGAAAAAAAAAAAAGTGAGAAAGGAAAGTGGGAAAGGTGAGGAACCGAAAAGCACAAGCAGGAAAGGAGGGTAGGTGGGGAGTGATAGATTCGAAGCTCCGGGATTCTCCGGGAACGCCGCTTCCAGGTGTGAACTAGCGGCCGGAGATCCCGAGCCCCGCGCTTCCGGGGAAGGGGGGTGGGGGACCCTACAACCAAGGCCTCCCGCCCGTCGGGTCTCTGGGGCGCTCAGGATCCGGGGCGGGGGAGCGGGCAGAGCCAGCCCGGCCTGTTTATTTAAACTGCCAGTTCGGAGTATTTCAGCTCGGAGCGGCGTAGTCCTAGGCAGCAGATGCGGTAGGCGTGGGTCAGAAAGGCAGCGCCTGCCGTCTGTTCACCCACCTAGCATCTTACTCCCCTCCCTGGGGGTGGGGAGGAGGTAACTAAAAAGACCCGAACTTCCCCCTCTTCCTGTCTGATTCAGCTTCAGGACAAGCCTCATACGACCGAAAATAGCCCTGGAAATGCATTTGTTTTATAAAGTGAATTTTCCAAAAAGATTTGGGGCGGGGGGCGTCTAGCTGCCGACGTTGGCGGGGCCCTGCTTCCTGGGAGGAGAAGGAACCCGCAGCCTCGCTCATACGCCCTCCCTCGGGCGCCCCCGGAGAGGGGGCCGCTGGGCGGTGGAATCGCGCCTCCGCTTGGGGAGCCACCACGCGGCTTTTTCGCGGAATTTTGACGTCACCCGCACGTGGGGGAAGGGGCTGGGAGAGCAAGAGGAAGCGGCGGTGGAGGGGGCCCAGGCGGCGGGGGAGCGGCAGCGGTGGCTGCTGCGTCTCCGGCACCCTCGCGGCGCTGCGGGCGCCCTCGCGGTTGGCGTTGCGAGCTCCGCGTTTCGGGCAGTGTCGCTTGTCCCCGGCTGGCCCGCTGGGTGGAAAAGGCTTTGCTTGTTTTCCCAGGAGTTACCACCCTTCTCCAGATCCTCCCCAGTGGCTCCCCCTCCATTTTCCGCCCCTTCTCCAGCTCCCACCCCCAAGGAGTGTACTTATTTTTATTTTTTTTTACCTTGCAATCGGCAGCAGCTGTTTGCTGCGGAAAAAAAAGTTATTTCTTTCCGTCTTGGTCCATTTCCGCTTGACACCGACATCGGACTGAATATCGCGATTGCTGGTCCCGACGCCCCGCCGCTAGCTCTCTACGCTCCCTCCAGTCAGGGAAATGTGAATGTGTTTTGCTCCGGTAGTAAATTGTGCATTTACTTTTACACCAGGAATTTTACACGCGCGAC